ATATTTTACTCTAGCTTTATATTAGCTACTCCAAAATGCTTAAAAGCAGAAAATACACGTGTTTCCTAAAAATCAGGCTCAAAGGGTGAGGCTGAATGGTAGCAGATGAGTGGTATGGGAGTGTGTTTTCACATTTGCTTGTGTACGGCTAAGTGTGTGGCTCACACGTATGTGTATGCCATATGTGTTGTCAAAAACATTACCTCAGGGGCACCTGGGTGGCTCAGTAGGTTAAGGTCTGCCTTTGGCTCAGGTCATGATCCAGGGTCCTGGGACTGAGTCCCACACTGGGCTCTCTGCTCAGGATAGAGTCTGCTTGTCCCTCTGTCCCTCCTCCCTGCTCGTGCTCTCTCTCACGCCCTTTCTTTCACTCAAATAAATAAAATCTTTAAAAAATTCAGCTTCAGTTTTGTCTATTTACAAACTGCTTTTATAGATAGTTCATCTGAGCTTCTTCTAAATCAGTGGTTTCCAAAGTTAGGTTTCACATAACAAGGGGCATGGGAAGAAAATATTAAAACTTTGATATGTAATTGTTAACCCATCTTACTATTGCTTTGTCAGGTATATGACACATAGTACAAGAGGACGGTACGTTGAATTCTAAGTGTACTTCTATTAGGGGTAAAAGCACAAACTTTTTTTTATCAGTAACTGCTGCAAGATCAGGAAGCTGCGGCAATTCTTAGTATATAGTTTTAGGGTTTCTCCACGTGTGGCTGGAGAATCACCCACATCAACTATGCAGATGCCAGGTCCCCACTCAGGACCTGTGGAATCTGAATCTCTAGGAGGTGAGGCCCATAAATCTGCTGTTTGGAAACAAGCATACTGAGATTTGAGAACATCTGCTTTCAACCTGGGAGGTAGGAATGATCCCCATTTTATGGGGTGGGGGGCAGTGAGGGTCAGCAAAGTTAAGTTTAAACTCAAGGGTCACCTGTGTGGATCAGCGGTTGAGCGTCTGCCTTCAGCTCAGGGTGTGGTCCCAGGTCCTGGGATCGAGTCTCGCATCAGGCTCCCTGCATGGAGCCTCTTCTCCCTCTGCCTGTGTCTCTGCCTGTTTCTCTCTCTCTGTCTCTCATGGATAAATAAATAGAATATTTAAAAAAGAAATTTAAGATCAAGGTCACACAGTGAGCTAGAGACACAGACTGATTCAAGCCCCACTTACTCGGATTGCAGAGGTGCATGTGTGCGAGGGCTTGGCACGTGCCACGTGGTCACCACCTCAGAGACCTGGAGGTCATGACACATAGCTGCAGGCAGTCACTGAAGAGCCAACCCCGAGGGACAAATGAGTCTTGTTATACAAACATGCAGCCTTTTTCCTTTCTCCCTTGGGATTTTAAAGATTGAGTTCAGAATGAGTGAAAAATGTGGTCAGCCACGTTTCCCATTGCGGGAAGGGGTTTCAAACCCCTATAGTTTATGTCTCATTTGGGGATTAAGGTCCTCAGAGTAACGTAGCCTCAGTCTAGAGACCAAACCTTCACCGCATGCTACTTCACCACCTTGCCACAGGCCTCTATAAAGCCCCGCTGTTCAGAGCAGGGCAGTCTGAGAGGGAAAAGCATGAATAATAAATGCAATTTCTTTCCTCTCAAATTCACATAGACTTGTGTTTCTGTGGCCCTGCATTCATACTACCATGTTCTCCCAATACGCACCCCAAATCTCAGCAGCAGGAGGTCTCCTCAACTATCTGGAGGGGAGCTGTGACTCATCTGCTCATTGAGTTCTCCTCTTCCGTCATATGCTGTCCTTGATCTAGGCAAAGGCACTGGTCTGTTACAGTTGGTTTCATTGGAAACAATTGCTAGTAGTCAACTCCAGCCGACTGATTTCATGTGGCAGGTAAGAATCATCTGTAACCAGCTTATTTATTTATTTATTTATTTATTTATTTATTCATTCATTCATTCATTCATTCATTCATGAGATACAGAGGGGCAGAGGGAGAAGCAGACATCCCATAGGGGTCCCGATGTGGGACTCGATCCCAGGACCCCAGGATCACACCCTCTACCTAAGGCAGACACTCAACTAGAGCCACCCAGGCGTCCCTCTAACCTGCATATTTAATAGGTGTCTCTAAAGTGTTGTTCCATCAAGTGGCTGGTGGTCACTTGAAGGTTAGACTGCTCACAGATGTCTCCTATAACCTCTCGCATTGGAGGAACTTACCAATTTAGTAAAGAAATGTGCAACTTATTTTCCCATACGTTAACAGGGAAAGCATCTACCATGAGAAACAAATGTCAGCTTGTCTCTGTTTAATTATCACCAGTTCCAAAATAGAGGGTTTCCAAAATAGCCGAGGTTTACTCTGAAGTTAAAAATAAACAAGCAGAAGGCAAGAATTTCCACGTTTTCATCCTAAGGTCCCCATCCCAGACTGGAGGCCTCGTTCCTGTGCCCTGTGGGACACAAAATAAAGGAAGTCAGGTCTTCGGTCACGTTCTCGGATTCTGAGCCTCCTTCACTGTTTGGAGGGTCTTCCTGCTTGGAGACACTGATGGAAGACTTAGGAAGAGAGTCTGATGCTTTGGGTCACAGGGAGAAGGAGAAAGGGAGAAAGAGTGACCGGCCAGCAGTTACTAAGCATGGACAAATGGGTGTGTGCTAAGTGGCCTCAAACTCTCTTCGTGCCTTTAAAATTCTGCTTTGACAGCTCTAACAATTGGCTACTACTTGCCTTGGAAATCAGGGAAAAAATATTTTCTTTCCTATTTATATGGTAGTTCATATGGTAGTTATATGTTTTTATATGGTAGTTCAACTTTCCCCAGTAAAAAAAAAATGTATATATACACGTTGCACACACACAATATATAGAAATAATCTTATATTAAAATCAAGATTTAAAGTGGTAAATAGCCACAATACAATTTGCTTCGATCATGAAAGACCAGGATGTCCCCTCCTGATCACAGCCGGTGCCTTAAAATCCAGACTGCATCCGTGCTTTCAAGTCGTCCAGAATATTAGAAAAGTTGACTATTGCCAATCATCACTTTCCTGATATCGGGTGGCAGCAGGCTGCAGAAAGTCACTACACAGAGTAGGATGCTTAGCCAGTTGCTAGACAACCTGGTGGACAGGGCTAAAATCTGGAATTTGTTTTCAACCTGAAGATTCTGATTCTCCTCTGACATCCTTTGGTAGAACCTGGATATGGGGGTAGACAAAAGGAGCCACGATAGCTTAAAAAAAAAAAAAAAACACAAAACACTAAACAAAAAAGACTTGAAAATCTTGGTCATCAGCTAACCTTTCTGAAGCAGTTTTTTTTTTTTTTTTTGCAGAAAAAGAATCTTTAAAACTCAGGGGAATTGTTAATCATGGTGATGTATCTGCAATAGTCTCAAAATGTGAAATTACGTACATGTGCCAGGCGCAGAAGTGTGTTTCCATGCAAGACAAAGAGACCTGTCTGCACTAAATCCTCACCTTACCCCTTTCCTGCTGAATTTTCTTCTCTCATCCTTCTGTTGTAGAGACAGCAGCAGGAAGTCAGGACTGGACCACAGGCTGAATTCCCATCTGTAAGACTATACTTTCAGGGATCATTTCTATAGTTTGAATTCCCATCTGTGTTTTATCAAATGTAAATACAACCTCTCAACTTCTTGCAAACTGGCGGTAGCCTGGGCTTTTGGGTTCTGAGGGCCTGGGGTGGGAGAGACTGCAAGCTGACCACCTCAACACTCAATGTCTATTCTCCTTCTCAGTAAGCAAATACTGAATTTATTTTGAAAATTTAGACAAAAAAAAAAAATCCAGACAGACAGAAAGATAAGTCTCCTTAGCCTTTCTTGCATCTCAGGGTGACCAAGTGACTAGATGCTGACCCAGGAGGTATAAGTGGAAGGATCAAATTATACTTTCAGGAGGTCCTTAATGGGGAGGGAATGAGATTCCTTTACTCATTTTCCTGCGTGGAAGGCAAATGTAATGATTGGATGGAACACTATCGCCCTGGACTGCTAACTCTGGATTTTCTTCTACATAAGAGGTAAATACATCTCTATTTTTATAAGCCATTTATCACATGCAGCTGAACCTAATTCCCAGCAGCTACACTTTGGGAAACTGTTGAAGGAATCGCTCTCAAATATGAAGCATGCGGTGTGCTAAGTACGGTAGCAAATACACCCACAATGCAATGAACGATGACAACAGTTTGCATTTTAAGGGCTCTGCGTGACCTTAGAAGTAGAGATGGCGTGTCACCAAACACACTCAGGGTCATGTATGTCTCTTAAGCATTTGTGAGGGTGCCTTCCTTAAAGATGCGGGGAAGCTCAGAAATCACATTTTATTTCAATGATTACCAAAGTGCAGTGATGCCATTATTGACACTTGACAGTATGAGAGTTTTCCCTTGTGAGGACATACAACCATTTTTAGAGGATTTGTTTTTAACTGGTAAGACTTATCATTTTATTGAGCGCCTACGGGGTGCGAGGCACTTGCGTAACCTCATTTCATCTGTCCGAATACATACTATTATTGTCCCTTCACAGAGGGGCAAATAGAAGGGATGAATTACTTGCCCGAGGTCATGTGGCAGAGCTGGAAATCGAACCAGGGGTCAGACAGATTTCAGGGCCTGTGTTATGAAATGTCATCCTATGGCATCTTCCACGTTCATGTTTCTCTAGATAGACTTGACCATCCTCTAAAATTTCCACGGAGTCTTGTCGGAACGGCAGTTCTTGTTTTTTTTTTTTTATTTTTTTTTATTTTTTATTTTTTTTATAAATTAGAAGGCTGGAATCCAGGGAGGGCTGTTGTTCATCCTTATGTAAGATGGGCCCACGTGGTCATGGTGTCACGAGTTTGAAGGGCAGGGACAGGCAGCCAAGGCCATTCTCAGCAAACCTCACCTGTAACTTGGCAGCACAGCTCTCGAAATGGAGAAAGAAACCTCAGGGCTTACCTGACGCTCCGTCTGGGAGACGGGAACCACCTCTGAGTCACCACAGACAGACACATGTGTTGTCATGCTTTAATGAGAATCAGACAGTAAGTGGCATAAAACATCCATCTCTTGGCTCTTCCCAACCTCATGAGCATAAGACTCCGATACAATGCCGGCCGTTGTAAGGATCATTTTGACCGGCTCCCCAGTCCCAAAGGGGATTACACAGTGATGATGGCGTAAAAAAAGTCAAGGTCGAGGTGTCTTAGCGTCGCGGCTAACGACTGACCATTTGTCTACCGCGGGCTCCTGCCCCATCCTGAGAGCTGCTGAGCTTAACTCGACGCCGGCCGAGTGGTTAGTTGTCGGTTCCCTGCGCGACTGTGCCTGCAGGTGAGCCACGCCCCGGGACGCGCACTAGGCACTTCCAGCGGGGGCCCGGGTACACCACCGGCGGGCCCCGAAAAGCAAGACGAGGGATGCGCACCCAGGGCGCTCCGTGGTTCTGCACCCCTGGGGTTGGGCGCTGGGATTTCAGGGCATTTGAGCCTCTGGGGCAGGTGTGCGGGGAGCGGGCCGGCTGGGCAGCCGCTGCCTGCGCCCTGGGCCCGTGCCACGGGCGCGCGAGGAGCCCCCCGGGGTGGCGGGGGCCCTAGTCGGCCTCGTCCACGTCCTCTCCCGCCGTGGCCGCCTCGAGGGCCGCCAGCGCCTCGGCCACCGCCGCGTCCTCGGGCGCGTCCTCCCAGCCGCCTCTGGACCCCGCGGCCGCAGCGGCACCCGGGGCGGCACCCGCGGCGGCACCCGCAGCGGCACCCGGGGCGGCACCCGCGGCGGCACCCGCATCAGCACCCGCAGCGGCACCCGCATCAGCACCCGCGGCGGCACCCGCAGCGGCACCCGCATCCTGCAGGTAGAGCCTGAGGACGTCCGTGGCCACGGGCTCGTTTGACGCGTCCCAGCTGGTCCGGGGGGGCTCGGGCGTGCGGAGGCCGCGCCCCCCGGCCGGTGGGTGCCCCCGCCCCGCGCCCCCGGGGCGCACCGCGCAGCCCTGCGGGGCCGGGTAGTCCGGGGGCGGCAGCCGCGGCGCGGGCGCGGGCTCCTCCGCCGCAGGCCCCTCCGCCGCAGGCCCCTCCCCGGGCCTGGGGTCCGCGTCGCCGCCCTGTTTCCGGGGGCCCCGCTGCGGGGCCGAGGCGGGGCCCACGCCGTTGAGGGCGCTGCCCGCCCCCCGCGGGGCCTCGCGCCGCAGCTCCTCCTTGTGCACCAGCGCCTCGCCGCTCTGCTTGCCTTGCGCCTGGCCAGAGCGCCCTTCGTCCACCTTGCAGCTGTTCACCTCGTTGACGTAGCCGGGGGAGGCCACTTGCACCGGATCAAAGAGATAGCTGGGGGTGACAGGAGGGAGGGCCGGGTTAAACTCTACCTGACGCTACCCACCGATGCCTTTGTGAACGACTGGCTTCCATCATCAAGGTTCCTGCTACGGGCCCTGCTCCCTTCTGCCCCCGTCCACCTCCGCGATTACTCCGTGGAGCCTCTGCGCGTGGCTAAACCAACTGTAGTTGGTGTAAACGGGTTCTGAACCGAATGTGCAACAACAAGGGACGAAGCGGCTGAGCGCTGATAGCCCATCCCCTTAATGGAGCATTATGCAGTCGTTGGAACGACAAATATGAAGTCTGGACTAACAGGAACGGTACTTGTTATTATTAATCATTGTTATCATTATTATTTTTAGGAACGATACTTATAATGCATGTTTATTCTAATGCCTTTTGAATAATGCCTACCATCACATTGCATTTACAACGGCATAAAACTTACACACACACAGGCACACATGAATGAATGGATGTAGGTATATAGCTATGAATGTAGAACTAGAAATATTAAAAAGTGTTATTTGTGAAGGAAGCAGATTAGTTAATTCCCCCCCCCCGCCCCCTTTATTCTGCATAGAATTCTATTGAGGTGATCCAAATTATTCTGAAATAGAATCCGGACAACATTAAAAACACATAAGTGACTGGGGTGAATTCTTTTCAGGGACGCCGTGTCAGGCACCATCTCTGAAACCCAAGCTTTTCTTTGCACTGGAGCTCCCTGGGGAATTGTAAATCCAACCTAAACCAAATTCAGGCTCAGAGCGTGATGTTGTTTCCAGCACGCTCTGAGCGGTGGGCAAAACCGGGTTTAAAAATCCAGGCCACGGGATCCCTGGGTGGCGCAGCGGTTTGGCGCCTGCCTTTGGCCCAGGGCGCGATCCTGGAGACCCGGGATCGAATCCCACGTCGGGCTCCCGGTGCATGGAGCCTGCTTCTCCCTCTGCCTGTGTCTCTGCCTCTCTCTCTCTCTCTCTCTCTGTGTGTGTGTGACTATCATAAATAAATAAAAAATTAAAAAAAATAAAAATCCAGGCCACGTGTCCTCTTACATGATATCAAAGCAGTTCCTAACTCCTAATTTCTTGGCAAGGCTGGTCATGCCCCAAGCTGGATAAATGCACTAAATCCACGCGGGGTCTTTACAAGGGCCTCCACGGTGACCACAGATCCCTCCGCTCAGAGGTCATGGTTGCGACTTTACCTTTGTATCATTTTACAGCATCTGCACCCCATCTGGATTATTTTTTGTTACCGTCTGGAAAAGAAAGTTAAAAAGGAGAGAACATAGTGAATAGGAATTACGTTTGCTTTTTCCTTTCTAGATATTCCAAGTGCATCGAGTCACAGTGTTTGGCAAAAGGATACCACGGGCGTCAGGGAGGCCACGGTTCCTGGGGACATCTTCATTGACCCAGAATCGCCCATTCAGAGTTCTCAAGCATCTACTGACACTGGCCTCTGTGCCAGGCCCTTCCGCCCATCCTGGGGGTTCCACGTGGCACCTCCACTTGGCAAAGGAGGAAATGCAGGCTGAAGAATGCCAGAGAGAGAAAGGCGGGATCGAGAAACATCCAGGCCACTTTCTATCTGCCTTGTGTGGGGGCCTCGGGAACCGACTAGGGCGCCGCCACTGTGCTGCAGCGGGGAGGTGACAGGGAAGAGCAGATTCCTTACCCTTACCAGTCCTTAGCTCCTCAAGTATTTAGGGACCTCTGGGTAAGGTGGCTGCCCTGCATGTTCAACTACAGACACCCAGAAGGTTACAGCTGCGGTCATCATCCAAGCTTCTGGGGACTAAGCTGCACCTGCTCTGCCTCTCCCACGACTGGGCCAGCCCTGGCCTCAGTCCAAGGGCTCCACTCTCTTGCAGCCCGAGGAGGTGCCCCGGGGGGCCTCCTGGCAGCAGGTGGGCTCGGCTCTGGGCCACTTTTATCTCCCACCTGTGCCTTTCCAGGTTTCGAGTTTCCAGATGCTTGCCCCCTGACTAAAATCTTCCCTCGGTGTAGAACCCACCAACTTGTTCTGATCTCCCCATGAAGATCCTAAAAATGGGCGTAGAAGAGTCTCTAAATCAGTTCCCTTGTCCGGTTTCTACAACTTTTAAAAAAGCCGAGCCAATAACTGAATTCCGTCTGGAAGACGGGAACCCGAGGAAGAGGCAGAGGGCATTTGTCGTTGGCTGTGTGACTGCCCCCCCAGCCCCCGGCCCCTCGTCTGTCTTCTTCCACCTGAATTCCCGGGGCACTGCTTCACGGCCACTTCATGAGGCTTTACCCACATGGAAAATGACCAGCGCTCTCTTCTTTCTTTTAAAGTTTATTTTATTTTTTTTAGTCATCCCTACATCCAGTGTGGGGCTTGAACTCACAACCACAAGATCAAGAGTTGAGTGCTCTTCTGAGTGAGCCAGCCAGGCACCCCATGATGGGCAGGTTATGGGACCTAGGTAGTCCACAAAGAACCTGGAAAACAGCCCCCGAAAGATATCCCCATCCTAATCTCTGGAACTTGTCACTGTTCCTTCTTATGACAATCAATCAATCAATCAATCAATCAATCAATGTCTTTGTAGGTGTGATCATAGGTTGGAGATGGGGAGATTTACTTGAATTATATGGTTTGGGGCCCAGCTGTATGACTCTGGGCCTCAGCTATTTTTCCACCTGTAAACGGGGATAGTGCTATGTCTATCAGATGCCATCATCCGGGATTATGTGAGTTAACATCCACAAGAAGCATATACTTTAGGGCTCAGACCTGTTTGGACACAGCATGTTAAAAAAACAAAAAAAGAGGATGGAGGCCTTGCACCTAAGAAAGATACAAGTTAGTTGCCACAACACACACATGAACAAAAGTCTTCACAATACCAAGTAATCGTTGTTTTCTGGCATAAGGGCCAAAGGGTGTATTTCTATCAACTGTGGCACCAAGTGAAAGATATAAGCCCCAAGTGCCACAGAAGTTCCTCAGAGGGAGAGATCATTGGGAACTTAGCCAGTGGTTTGTGTGTCCAACCATTTCCTTCTTCAAAGCACGCTCAATTAAATGACCCCGTTTCCAGAGCCCGGGATTTTGTTCCCAGCCTCTGCTCCCATTTATGCCTATTTTCTGCTAATAATTCACAAATCAGCTGGACAAACAGGATAGATAAATACTGCATGCTCCTCCTCGCCCCCATCAGCCCCTGTCTTCCCCTCCTCTCCTCCCCTCCTCCTGCTCTAAAACCATGCCCCTTGGCCTGCTTGCGGTACTTTTATTTATCTTGGACTCTATTTAAAAACACAGTTGGGAGGATTGGTGGCAAAGGCAAAGGCAAAAAAAAAAAAAAAAAGTCAAAGAAAAGGAAAAACCTGGCTTTGAGGTTTTTGAGAGAGGGCAGATTGTGGGTCGTCACCACATAATTGAAGCCACCCTGAAATATGACCCATTGTAAAATATCTGGTGGGTCAGTCTTAGGATGGGGAGTCCAAGAGGTGTGGGAGGGGAAGGTTTGCAGGAAGGAAGAGAGAGGAAAGAAGGGGGGAGGTGAGGAAGGGGCCTGCAGCCCCACTTTGGGTTCCCAGGTCCCAGAGGTGACCATTGTCGACCGACAGTGGGGAACCCTGCCCGGGCTGCAGGCCCCCACCCTCTGCTGCCCTGGCCAGGGCCCCCCAGATGCAGTGACTGCTGAGATTTCACAGGCCAGCTGGAGAGCCACCACTTCCCCGTTTCCTACAGAATTTACAAGTCACCTGTGGCTTTCAGCTCCCCACCTCCTCCCCCAGGAAAAGCAGAGGATCCACAGTTTTCTTCAAAGCCATGAGATGTGAAGGATGTTTCAGGCTCCTGTTTCTGGCTTGGCTTCCCTCCCCCCACCCCCTACCCCCCACCGCGTTGCCTGGGTTTCCTCCAGGCGGGGTCCCCTACCTGAGGGCCATGCTCCGGGCCTCTCCTCCTGGGCAGAGGCCCTGCCTTCTCGCAAGGCCCGGGGTTCCCTCCCCGGCGGTGGCATTCCTTCCCTCACTGAGGCAACTCCTGGGTCCCGGGCTGTGTGACCATGACAAAAAGGGTGGGGACTAATGTATTTACACCCTAGGCCTGCTGCCCGCATCCACAGTTTCCTTCCTTATATGAAGAGCCCTCATGGCACATCCAATCTCTCTCCACATGTCACTGCCACGTCCACGTCTTGCTCTGAGCCGCCGAGCTCTCCCATTTCCAGGAGGGGAAGGGACTCTTCTGTGGCCGGTGTGACACAGGGGAATGGGGGGCCGGTGGGGGAGGGCGGAAGGCTTGCTCGTGTGAAATTGAGACTTGGCTTCAACATGGGCTGTCCACCTGCTATCTCTCTGTGCCCCCGACCGCCCCCCCCAACTTTGACAACGGCTAGCTTGAAGGCCAGCTCTCAGTTGTCAGGTGCCTTTTATTACGTAGCAGAATCAAAATCTGCTTTCTCTTTGGAGTCTGAAAAAGCAACAGAGAAGCAAAGGGCAAATCCTTTGCAACCACTGGCTGGTTTACACAGGGGAAAAGCAAACACCATTAGGATGGTAGGTCCATCCACCCCCGGCGCCCGCCCACTTCTGCGTTGGGGGGTGGCCCTGCCCTGCGATCAGTGTTGAAGTTAAACAGTCCTGTGTTTGAGGATGGACACGCTGACGCTCTGTCGGTTACTAGTCTAGTCTTCTTGCTAGAAAGTCCTGTTCCACAAGGGGGGGTCGTGGTGGCAGTGGGGGGAGGCCAGAAGATCACAGGAGTTTTTGAACCAGGCAGAGACACTGAATATTCATCAGGAAGTCCAGAGGTAATAGAAAAAATCTCCATCCGGTTGCCAAGGGCTGCCTTTGAATAGTGACAGTCTGAGAGAGTGACAGGGGCAGGTCAAAGGACACAGGAACCAGATGGCAAAGGTTCTACTGGCCAAGTTTGGAACAACTGGAGCATCAAAATAAATACGACCGGTATAAAGGATTGTAACCTGCTGCATAAAATGAGGACCTGTGAATCTACACTGATCGAAATTTAAATGTCTACCTTATAAGCAGAAAGCCAGTTAACACACACACACACACACACACACACACACACACACACACACACGGGATAATGGGACTAGAAAAATCACCATCATAACAGTAACTGATTCCAGCAAAAGGCATCAGTGGATGCTGAGACTAATGGGTAAGAGTCTGGGAAGAACAGGATGGTTAGTCTGCAAGCGTCTCCCCGCCACATGTGTAAGGGTAAAACCGGATCTGGGCAGTGGAGAAATAGGCACACAGCACTTGCATCCGATAACACTGCCTGCAATCATCGAGACTAACCAGCTTCAGGTGCCCCGGATGGGTTATGCTGAGAATTCAGCATCACGTTTCTGGTCTTCCTGGAAAAAGAACGTAAGCTGGGTGGGAGTGTGAAGCGACATCTGTCACCCCACATGGAGGGATGTTCTGCGAAACAGCTGACCTGTACTCTTGAAAAAAAGTGCTAGTCGGAAAAATACAGACAGACTGAGGAGCTGTTCCAGAATTGAAGAAGACAGGATGTACGATGGCCAGATGACACGCATAAGTTTTTGGCTAAAAGGTCATCATCGACACAACTGCTGAAGTCTGAGTAAGGCCTATTGATTAGGTAACATTATCAAGTCAGTGTTAATTTCCTGATTTTGATCAATGCACTGGGGTATGTAAGAGAACAGCCTTGTTTTTAGGAAATACCCAGGGACGTATTAAGGAGGAAGGGGCATGGTATCTGTGATTCATGAAAATGATTCAGAAAAAAAAAATTGCATGAGTGAGCATATCAAGAAAGAGAAGGATAAAGCAAATGTGGTAAATGGTAACTTCTGGGAGCTGTGCGTGGAGCATATATGAAGATTCTTCGTACCTTTCTGAGAACTTTTCATTAACCTGATGTAATGTCAAATAAAAAATTAAAAGAAAAAAAACAGGAAATTTAAAAAAAAAGCGCCAATCTAACGTCAGTTCTTGTTCTCTTTATCCCTAGAGTAGGACCTAACACCTACGGGAAGTCATGGATATTAAGATATTCCCCCCCCCCCCAAAAAAAAAAGATATTCCCTATAAAGAAGCACAGGGAAAAAGGTTTTGGAAAAGAGCTCACCAAAAGCCCACCAATTTTTTTTTTTTCTGGATTTAGTCATTCTGAGTACGTCCTGAAGACCTTTCCTCAAGAGCCAGTCCTAGGCACTGGGACTCTGAAGGCAAAGGAGGTATGGTTCCTGTCCTCAGCTGCCTCCTCTCCTAGGGGGACTTCCAGGCTAGTGCTTCGGTATCCTCAGCTGTCTGCCTCCCCTTCCACTCCCAAGCTCCTCACAGGCAGCGCCCAACACCGGGCAGTGTCCAGCAGGGCCCTTTGTGCTTGGTATTCAAACAAAGGAATGACTGGTGAGTGATGGCTGTGAGTGAATAAAGGATGCGCAGGAGATTTTCTAAGTTATCCCAACAGAGGGCCTGCCTCTCCTCGTGATCACACTACCCAGTGGTCCAAATCTGGGAGCCAAGCGCAGCTGCTGGGAGAGATGGGAGGGACTCCGTTCTTCCCTCCGGGCTTGGGAAACAGCAAAACCTCCCTTGGGCAGTTCCCAGGGTCAAGGGTGTTCTGCTTCCCGGGTTCTAGTCCATGAGCTGTCTGTAGAGGCAGCTGCTGGGAAGTGGTCTGAGTTTATCGAAGCTGGAATGTTTGAGAGAGAGAGAGAGAGAGAGAGAGAGGGACCAAATGAAACCCTTAAAATTTCAGCTCCGTTTTTGAAAAAACCAACTTGCCAGTGTTTGTAAAACAGCGGGGATTCCACCTTTCACCTGGGCAGCAGGTGAAGTTGACGAATACTTAGCGAGTCATGTCTGGGTACTGAGCTCCTGGGCTCGAGAGGAATGAATGAACGTAATTGCCAGGTGCTGAAGAAATTGCCAGGCGCTTTATAGGATAAGTAAGGGATGGCCTGCCCAGCTTCAGTGGCTGTGCTGAATTCACAACGGGAAAGGGACAAGATAAATCCCTAGACTACTCAATCCATTTCCTCCTTTTGGACAGCCCTTGAAAACTCCTGGTGTGTTTCCTTTTCTCCTGAAGAGGCTGAGCTGGGTGATTTTGGACAACCTGCAAGACTATGAGGATCTTTATTATTGGCGCCATCACCTAGTATTTTATGCATTCTCAACAGCTGGTGGGTGGGGTGCCTGGGTAGCTCAGTCAGTTTAAGCATCTGGCTCTTGGTTTCGGCTCAGGTCATGATCTCAGGGTCATGAGATCAAGCCCCGCATCAGGCTCTGCTCTCAGCTGGAGTCTGCTTGAGATTCTTTCTCTTCCTCTCCACCACCCACTCCCGCTTGCTCTCTCTCAAATAAGTAAGTAAATAAAATCTTCGATAGTTGATGTACTACGATATACGTGTCACCCAGAGCTGGGTCTGATGGGATATTTATGTGCAGAGATGTGTTTGTAGGTTTTTTCCCTCAGAAAGGGGTTCTCGGTCAGATACATTTGGGAACAGCAGAGATTAAAGACGAACACATTTGTGGTTAAGAAAAAGAACTATTTCATCTTGTTTATCTCAGTGTTTCCCAAAGTTATTTGACCACAGAGCTTTTTTTTCCCCCTATAAAAGACTTATTAACAACCAACAAAAACTTGTGTTTTGGGAAGAATGACTGTTGAAGTGACAATCCTAGCTATCAGGGTGTGTTCTGTGCCTCTGACTGAAAGTGTCACATGGTGTCTGGGGGAACCCGGGCAGAGAGAGTCCCATGGTAGCAACAGCTCCACTGCCTGCCCCACAGACGTGGGAAAATCTGTGATCTCTTGATGCCTCGGTTTCTTCATCTGCAAAAGGAGTCTTTGATGTCAAAGCTCTTATCCAAATCTGATGACCTAAGAGGCGAATTGGTGAAGAAAAGGGGACTTCCCTCATGACCCCCTTTTCAACTTGGTTTACACACGGTTAACTCTTTGAATGCTGAGGCAAGGCGGCCACCTATAGGACGCTGGCGCAGGCCAGGTTTCTCTCAATGGCTTGTGAACCACCCCATGGCCACACCACTGAGGTGTGTTTGGGTCTCGACTCCGCACTTGCCCCAGCCCGAGATCCCTACTGAATGCACAAAGCTTCTCCTCCTTGTCCTCTCATCAGGCCTTGGGTTCTCCAGCTCTTTCCCTCATGTGTGCGGCTCTTTCGTGGCGGTCTCCTCAGCCTCTCTCCAGAGAGTACTAGGGGAGACAGAGTAACAGCAAAGCCCCTGGGAGGGGTGAGGACTCGGGTCCTGGGGACCCCGTGAGGCTGGAGGAGGTGCGCTGCTGGATTCCCTTGTCCACTGGAGTGGGTGATGGGGAGGCACGGGCTACTGGCCAGGAGGTCAAGTTCTCAGGAGCCAAGGAATTGGTCTCTGGGGATGAAATGGCAGGACTGAAATAGGTGTTTCTCGATGAAAGGCTGCCCTGGGCTCACTCAAATCATAATATTTAAAAGGGCTGCCTCCCTGGCCTCTCTCCAGGCTGTCCTTGCTGGTATGTTCACCCGAGGCGGGTGTCTACGCTGGTCTTGGGGTGCTTCCTTTGCAGGAACTTGCAGAACAAGCCAGGTCCTGGTCCCAACACTTTACTGCAGCTGGGGTCACAGGATCCTTGGTGTCTGTGTTAAATGTGGAAAGACAAGACTTTTACAACAGTTAGAATGTCACTCCATTTTTCTCTTCTTGTGGACCATATGCTGGCATGTTGTAATCTTTCTGAAGGATCTTAAAAACATTTCCATGGCCCCTTCTTCTATTCAAAAATCATTTTTTCCTTACTGACGTGGTCCTCAGTCTGCTGTCCCTAAGCCAGATGTTTCGTGAATGGTCACAGTCATTACACAGTGTCTCCACTGATTCTTTGGCTCTTCAGTGAATCCCTGGTGTGCACCAGGCACTGTACCAGGTTCTGGGGAAACAGCAGAATCCAGGTGCTCCCTGAGAGAACTTACAGTCTTGAATGTGTGTGGTGGTGGTGGTGGTGTATATGTGTGGGGTGGGATGGGATTTATATAA